CCTGTTAATTGCAAGTGAAAGTACTTTATACTTGAGTTCGGTAGAAAATGCGTGCATGGATTTCTCACTGTTCATGACAATTTCTGCCGTAATAATAAAAACAGTGATGATAATTATTACATACTGTTCCAAATAGTGTGGTTAGCTAGTTTTTATAACCTTTAGAACCAAATTTACTATATTCTTCTATGTCAACTTTGCTTTCCTACAAATACAAAGAAATTAAAGCTGAATCTAATTCATAGATACCTACTTTCCTCAAATTTATAAAGATAACTAGCCTCTATTATTGTTAACTCTTGCCTTGTAAGTTAAAATGCATTGATGAAGTTTGTAGTCTGCTACATCTGAAGAGGAAATCATCAGTCTTCATCCTCATTCTATACTGACTTCCTTGGTTTTCCCTTCACCTTATGCCATTAAACTCCTCCTTCATATATTGGTTTTACAATTTATTTATTTATTCATTCATCCATTCCTTTTGTATAGCCATCCATATCAACAAGTGATATTTTGAGTCATACTCCTTGTTTTATCATACAGTCTTAACATTTACTACAAATCATTTCTGGTCTTAACTAATTTCACAGCATCATCTGCACACAAAGTATACAACTAACATCACACTAACATCACCACCAGTATTCCTTAAATATTTATCATAAATGCATTAAATAAACCAGGGGAATATTTTTTTACTTGCTTACTACGGGCAGTTTACATGAAAACATGAAAACTATGAAACAATTTAAATATAGCAATAAAAGAAGAAACCCCCAAAACAAACATTGCAAAACCAGGAAGTAACATTTATTTATTTATTTATTTATTTATTTTTTAAATTTATATCCCGCCCTTCTCCTTACGGACTCAGGGCGGCTAACAACCGGATAAAAATACAAAAATAACACACTACAAGTTTAAAAATTAATTAAAAGGGAAATATTAGTAATTTGGTCTAATTAAAATTAAAATTATAATTAAAACCCCCTCTAAAAGTTTCCCCTAGGCCAGTCCCGCAAGCTGGAATAACCATGTCTTAAGGGCGCGGCGGAAGGAAGGGAGATCAGGGATCACCCTGATCTCTGGGGGCAGTTCATTCCAGAGGGTGGGAGCTCCCACAGAGAAGGCCCTCCCCCTTGGGGTCGCCAGCCGGCACTGTCCCCCTTGGGGTCGCCAGCCGGCACTGTCTGGCCGACGGCCAACTCCTTACAACAGGGGTGTCAAATTGCTGTCCTGCAGGCCGGATGTGTCATCCAGAAGCCACGCCCACCCCATTGCTGGCAATGGCATAACCGTTGCACGACGTCACGTGATGTCACAAGTTTGACATATCTGCCTTACAAGGAATTACACCAATCCTAACCAAAGGCCTGTCTGAACAGCCAGGCCTTCATGGCCATCCAAAATGCCAAAATGTAGAGTGGGAGTCATCTGGATCTTGGGGGGAAATCTCATCCAAAGGGCAGGAGCTGTGACAGAGAAAGGGCACTTCCAGGCTCCCAATAGATGGCATTGTTTAATTGAAGGAACCTGCAGTGCACAAACCCTGTCAGATCGAAATAACTGGACAGATATCACAGATTCTTGCTTTACTTCCTGCTCGGTGTGAACTATTTACTAAGCATTGAGCTTATTCTCATGCATGCTCTATTTTCATCACATACTTCTCCCAGCTGTATTCAGCAACCATCCTTCATTAATAACTTAATCTTTTATCATAAATAAGCCAATCATATTTTAATTAAGTCCTTTTCTGTGTGTAGATATGAATGGTTTAAAGGGAGAAAGGCATCCAATTAAATGCTACCGTACTGTTAGCTACTGTAGATCCTTGATATATACTGGAATATAATGCTGAATACAAATACACTCCATTTCTTCTTTAAGTAGATCGTGCTATTGACTGTGTTATTTCCTAAACATAGTTACAATAGAAGAGAATATCTGTAGCTCAAGGTTGAACGGTGGAGTTCTTGGTGCACTCTGAGCTTGTTTGTTTGCTTGCAGATGTTTCATTATCCAACTAGGCAATATCATCCATGCGGGTGAGTATGGGGTTTGCTGCCAATGAATAGCATATAGTATATACAGTATGCTATATATATTAGCTTGCCCTACCAGTTTTGATGGGAGTGTGGTTTCCTTGATTGATTGGAGTATTGTTTTCTGCTTTAATGTTTGTCTAGTGTTAATCCCTGCATATCTGAAAGTTGACTGGATAACAAACATACTCTGTATGTTTGCCTGTGCTGCTCTGTGAAATATAAATATATGCTGTCATTAATTCCCCCTCTTTCTGTGTAGTATTTAGGATGTACCTGCTTATGGGATACCTATCTTGCCTACTCCAGGAATCACAGTTTAAGTTTAAAACAAGCATCCTCTTTTTGAACAATTCTAATAAATTCCTGGCCTTGCGCTATGAAGCTTTCTAAGACTTTGGTAAAGAAAATTGAATTAGACAGTAATATGTTGCAGAGTGAAACCAGATTATTCATCTAGTGAGCTAAAATAAAGATGATGATGACACCCAGAAGCAGCACTCAGGAAATAGAATATTTACACAGAAATTGTTTGCATTTTTCCCTCTGGTTTTCATTGCTTTTAAAGAAACATCCAGACCACACGCTGCAGATAGTTCTTCCATGCTGAAGGAGTATGCATTTTTAAAAAACTATAAAAATGAATTGCCATGTGTTCATGTTGAATACATGTAATTGCACGGCCTTTGACACTTAAACCTACGATTACAAAAAGGGAGGGGGGGTTTAAAAATGTCTCATTTGATCAACTCATGCTTTTACCTATGAGAGATCATATCACAGCTAAGTGAATTTAAGTCTGTGGGAGAGAGAATTGTACCGTTAAACAGCCACAGTTTGACTGTTGGCTTTCAGCTCCCTCATCAAGAGTTTGCTTTTGCAGAAGCAGGAGCAAACTACAATTCATATTTTAAACTCACAGTGTAGATTTTTTTAATTTTTTTTTTATTTTACAGGTTTTAAAAAATAGGCAGATGGGCCGATTTTACTCTGGGTTATTATATTATATTAATATTAATATTACATTTACACACACACAAATCTACCATCTGCCTGCCTGTCCGCCTTGATTTGCTTTATTTTGCCTGAAAGCTGTGTTGGAGACTTACACCATATCATAAGAGTGCATGGTACAAGCGTATAGAATGTTTTCCTCCTCCCCCCTTTCCTTGTATATTTTTACAGCCCAGTGGCAACAAAGAAAAAAGCATTTATAGAAAAAACAAACAGTAACCTAGATTGTGCTTTGAACGTTGATTCCCGCAAGGCTGCACTCCAGCAGAAGCGGAAAAGCAGCAATGGCCATCTTTGAATTAGCCCAGGGATAGGCAACCTTGGCTCTTTTATGACTCGTGGACTTCAACTCCCGCTGGCTCAGGAATTCTGGGAGTTGAAGTCCACGAGTCATAAAAGAGCCAAGGTTGCCTACCCCTGAACTTTTGATCATTCTTTTGCTTTCATGGGCTCATCCTTAAGGAATGTTCAGATCTGCCTAAAGCTGTAGGACTGTACCTTGGAGTAAGTCTCATTGAGGCCCATCATGCTTCTCCAAGTAGACGTTCATGGAATTACATAGCTCAGAAAACAAAAAGATCTGGCACAGAGTTCCAGTCTTCCCCAGAAATAGTTTGCAGGCTCTCCAGTTCAGACTCTATCTTATTTCACTCAACAGTTTGAACAATGTAGCTGAGTAGTTTCTGCTCCCAGCTTTATTTTGAAGCCGCGCTTTTTTAGAGAGTTGTATTTACTTAGTTTTTCATTGCCTGTAACTACTTATTAAAAAATACAGTCCACGGGACTGCAATCCTTCCAATTTCATTTGCAAGTGATATTGTGAAGATTTTTTTAAAAAAGCTCTTGCTGAGCCCAAAATCTCAGCTGCAACCTATGGCTGTTGAACAGATGGAATGTGCCATTCTCCATTATTAAAATTAGTCTGCAAATGTAGTAGTACGATTGGCTTACAGTAAAGATGGTCATGTGGTGGGGTTGTGTGTATGCATGCAGATGTACAGTCTTAGGCATTTTTATAAAAGAGGTTAAGATTTTCAAACACTTCCCTATAAATTTAAAGTGAATGAAACACTTCAAGCATTTTAATTACCGTATGCTATTTTCTGCATTCTGTCTTGTTCTGTCATTACTAATATTTACAGGTAATGCTATAGTTTTATAATGCCTTTATAATTGCACTGACAGCAACACTGTCAGTGATGAATATGAAATTCAGAATAATTCATTTAGGGGTTTTTTTGTATCTCAATATAGCACTTTGCTGTGGTGATTTTGTGAATCTATCTGAAGAAAAACATAGCTTTGGGTTTGTTGCTCGATTTGTTTCTTAAATGTAATTAAAACAGGACAAAATCAAAGTACAGGGCATTGATTTTAAGTAGTGTGAAAACCAAACTTCGGCATGTATGATAACCTAAAATAAGATTTTTTAAAAAAATATGTGGAATAATTTATTACAAAACAATTCTTTCAGTTGGTACTGTAAAACTTGGAAAGATGGCTTCGTAAGAATCACTGGTAGATTTATTTATTTATTTGGCAAATTTATATAATAATCTGTGGTTGATTACAACAGTGGAGCAAAATGCTGTTCTCTCAATCTTTTTATAATCCTCATTCTGCATTTCAACATTCAATGTAACCTGGAAAGGAATCAGGCAGGCTTTCTTTAGCTGAGTCTTTCCTTTCATTTTGCTAAAGATGCAGTATTAGTTCTCTCTCTCTCTCTCTCTCTCTCTCTCTCTCTCTTTCTCTCTCTCTCTCTTTATGTGTGTGAGACACACACACACACACACAGAGAGAGAGAGAGAGAGAGAGAGAGAGAGAGAGAGAGAGAGAGAGAGAGAGAGAGAGATTTTCAAGTTGGTCTATGAACAGTGACCAAAAAAACCCCGCCCAAATTACCCTACAATGCTAATTTTTTCTTTTTATTTTCCATAGGATTTTCTACAAGGCGATTGTACCAAAGCAAAGCAGAAACTCAATTGGAAACCCAGTGTCACTTTTGACGTAAGTTCTGGTTTTTTTTCTCCAAATACTTTATTGAAGACCACTTTTAGAAACAAAAAAAAACCCCGTTTTTAATTTGTAAATATCTAACTCAACAAAAACCAAAGTGATCCTACAAAACAACAGTTCAAGAACATAAGCGAAAAGGCATCCTGTAATTCTTCAACTTTTACTGTGATGAGGCTAATTTAATTATTCTAAGCAATCAGTGGATAGTAACCGACCACAGAAATAAACATTTTTGTATGTTAAAAATGTATGTTCTACATTTCCCCAAGTACATTTTTCAGATTGAATGTTACAACTTGGTGCTGTATTCCTATAAAAAAAAAGAAACAAACTCAGCTCTGAAAGGAAAGTGAAAGGGTATAATTCAACAAATGAAAAACAAATGTGTATTTCACGGCTGCAGTTATCAGACCAATTTTTAAAATTTATTTTTGGTTGTTTGCAGCCAACAGTCCAAATTTTTACCCAGCCTGGTGATAAAAGGACCTTAATCTAGTTACTGCCCTTTAATAAAGTAAGTGCTAGAAGTTGCATCCTAATTATACCTCTAATTCTCATCCTAGGAACTTTATGAATACAGTGTTTCAGAAAGCACTTGGGTTTGCAATCCAATTAGGAGAGAAAAAAAAAAATAAGTACAGTGGTCGTGGGAGGCGAAGAGGTCACAAATTTAATAGGCTTACTCTAAATAGTCAGACCGTTTTCTCTGACTTAGTCTGAACCGAGCGTCTAACGCTTGTTTATGTATGTCTCTTTCCCCCTTCTCACAGGAGCTGGTGAACGAGATGGTGAAAGCAGATGTGGAGCTGATGAGAAACAACCCCAATGCTTGAATCTGCCCCTCTTTCTCTACCTGCCCCGGGATGAAGCCTAATGATGAATCATCCAGAAGACGTTGGTGGGGCTGGAGATGCTAAGCTTCAGTGGTGTTAGATGATTTGTTGCTGCCATTTTATTTCCCTTTGCTTTCCACAATGGATCCCTTTTTCTTTCTCTTTCTCTTTTTTCTTTTTCCCAAATTGGAATCCTGAAAATCATGCTTTTTTTTTTTAATGTTCCTTTCTGAGGGGGAGATTGAAGCAGGGAGGACAATTTGCAGCATCTAATCAGAATTGATCTTGTAATTTCAGAACATTTTCTTTTGATAGTAAAAAAAATTATTTCCACAAACGCTTTCTCCATTTTGAATGGGAAGTATAAATGCTGTGTATTTTTTCCCCAAAGTCTTTTACAGATACAGCCTAAAAAATAAAAAAAAAAGGGGGGGGGGAAATAGTGAAATACATTCATTGTTTCCCAATATATTCAGACTAAATTCTGAAGATACCTTCAGATTAATAAACTCATTCAGAACGAGGTTTGATGTAAAATATATCGCAAAATATATCGCACACACGAGCCTTACACAGATTACATACAGTTTAAACATCTATATATGCAAAGGGGAATTACAGAGGTTGTGATTTATCCAGTGTTACTTCTAAAGTAGCATCTTTGGAATGTTTCAGTGAGGTTATTTGTTCAAGGAGCAAAGAGAAACAGAACAAAGAATTTGATTTCTCCCACTAAGCCCATTGCCATCCTGAAAAGTTTGCCCTTCCTGCAGTTGCATGTGGTAGGGAGATCTAGGGCAATTAGCACCTAATTCTTGCATATCTACATATTACTGTATACATCCCATTCTGTTTTTGCTTGCTATAATTAGCCACGTAGGAGCCTGGAGCCTCTAAGGATGGCCTTAAGAAGGAGAGAGAAATCCAAAGTTCAAAACGAATGTAGTTCACTTTTTGGGTGCAAATGTATCTAATCGAGGAGAAGGTTGGGGGATCCCATAAATTTGTTTTCCAGTGATGTCTTCCAGCCAATAATCCCTCTCTTTGCTTTGAAAGAGCCTAGAATGTATTACAGCAAAGCAAAAGGCGAAACGGGCCCGTGTGAATTTCCAACGTAGCCTGGAACCTATTAAGACGTTGCAAAACGCGTGAAAATGAAGGTTAAAGCCCCCTTCAGACGGAGACGGGCCGCTCTTCCCGCGTGCGAGCCGAAGGAGAGCAGCCCGGCTTGGGGGCCGACCCGGACTCCTGCCCAGAAGGGCGAGAAGGGCTCACCGGGGCGGCGGCTCCCAATTGGGACCAGATGTTTCCGCAAGGCCGGCCCCGTCTCGCTAGCCCCGCAGGTGGAAGGAAGGAAGGAAGGAAGGGGGACCCGGCAGAACCGGGGCTCTGGCTCAGCGGGCGAGAGCGAGCAGCAGCCCCCCTCTGGGCTTGCCAGGGCGGGTGGGGGTGTCCCCGTCCCAGAGCCGGCTGGCCTTTCGGGTTGGTCTTCGCCTGCAAGGAAGGCTTCACGGCCTCAGGATCGCCCGCCAAAGGGACCCCCTGCCAAAGCGAAGAGAGACAGAGAGACGGCGCAATCCGGCCAGATTCCCCAAGCGGAGAAAAGGGACCCCGACACTTTTGGCCCCCCCTTCCCTTCCCCCGCGGGGGGGTCGAAAGGCTTGGGCGACCTGCTTTCCTCCCCCTCCTCCTCCTCTTCTTTCTCCTCCTCTTCTTCCTTCTCTTCTTCCTCTTCCCCCTCCTCTTCCTTCCTCCTCCTCCTCTTCTTCCTCTCTTCTTCCTCCTCCTCTTCTTCCTCCTCTTCTTCCTCTTCCCCCTCCTCTTCCTTCCTCCTCCTCCTCTTCTTCCTCTCTTCTTCCTCCTCCTCTTCCTTCTCTTCTTCCTCTTCCCCCTCCTCTTCCTTCCTCCTCCTCTTCTTCCTCTCTTCTTCCTCCTCCTCTTCCTCTTCTTCCCGTTCCTCTTCTTCCTCCTCTTCTTCCTCTTCCTCTTCCCCCTCTTCCTCTTCCTCCTCTTCTTCCTCTTCCTCTTCTTCCTCCTCCTCTTCTTCCTTCTCTTCTTCCTCTTCCCCCTCTTCTTCCCTCCTCTTCTTCCTCTTCTTCCTCTCTTCTTCCTCTTCCCCCTCCTCTTCCTTCCTCCTCCTCCTCTTCCTCTCTTCTTCCTCCTCCTCTTCCTCTTCTTCCCGTTCCTCTTCTTCCTCCTCTTCCTCTTCCCCCTCTTCCTCTTCTTCCTCCTCCTCCTCTTCTTCCTCTTCCCCCTCTTCTTCCCTCCTCTTCTTCCTCCTCTTCTTCCTCCTCCTCTTCTTCCCCTTCTCTTCCTCTTCTTCCCGTTCCTCTTCTTCCTCCCTCCTCTTCCTCCTCCTCCTCTTCCTCCTCCTCTTTGGGCCGCTTGCCTCTTCGGTTCCTTCGGCGCCTTCACGGGGGTCGACTGGCAGTCCAGTCAGCTCGGCGCTGCCCCTCGCCAGGGCACCTCAAAAGCCTGCAGTTCCCAACCGGGTCAGCTGGCAGGAGGCCGTCGGAAAAGCCACCTTTGCAGCTTGGGCGCCCCCCCCCCAGTCCCCTCCCCGCTTCCCGATCGCCGACCTGGCCGAGGGGTTTGGGGGGGAAAGCACCGACGCTCCGCGAGGCCCCTTCTATTCCCCCCCCCCTCTCTCCGACTAAGCTCCGCGGGGCATCTAGACGCGTTGAACGGCAAGCCGCCCCAGTCGCCACCCCGCCTCTCCGTGCAGCGGGGACCGTAAGGAGACGAATTTCGCTCTAGATAAAGCAAAAACGGAGAAGGAAGGGACTGTTCTGTTTGCGGGGGGGTGGGGGAGCCACCACCCGCGGGGCAGCCCTAGATGCGGCGCCTCGGAGGTTCGGGGCTGAAATCCCGGCCGGCAACACCGCCTGCGCCTAGTCTGGGCGAGACGGGGCTGCCGGCGAAGCCAAGAAACCAGCCACGATCGGATCGGCCAGTAAAACTGCTGCGCCCGACGAGAGAGGCGAAGCTGAACTGCGACGGCGCCTTAACTCTTTCAGAAAACCAGGCGCAGAAAAAAGGGGGGCCTCGCCTTCAGGCAGCGCGAGGGATCCGCCCGCCTTTGGGGGCAGGAGGGCTTGCCATAAAACGCGGTCCCATCGCCTTATATCAAGTGTTTCTCAACCTTGACCATTTGAAGGCATGTGGACTTCAACTCCCAGAATTCCACAGCCAGCATTGCTGGCTGTGGAATTCTGGGAGTTGAAGTCCCCATGCCTTCAAATGGTCAAGGTTGAGAAACACTGCCTTATATTTTTCTATTCAGAGTGCAAAATGTCAAGCCAGGTCTTCATTGCAACTGGCCTCTGCAGCGCTCTGGTTATGCCTATTCCTTCCCTCCCCCACCACCCCAACCGCTCTCCAGATACATTGTGGGGGTTTTGCTTCCACCAAACGGCACAAACGTCTGTAAGCGGAGCTTAGTGGAGGACAAGAAAGAGCCGCCCATCACACCCAAACCGGGACTTCATCCCGGCCGCTGCCCGAGATGCCCCTCGGCTGTCCCCGGCTCCTTCCCAGCCCCGGTAGGAGAGTCTTAACGGGTCTGGTGCGCCCAACCAACCAACCACCACCCCCCCCGGGATGTGCCGGAGGCTCTTGCACCGCCCGCGGGACCAGGAAGCTGCCAGATGGAGGTTCATAGCTGGGACGGGCTCCATCTTCGGTTTACCCAGCCGCCGCCGGTGCCAAAACGATACGCGCCCCGCCAGGCAGGGCAAAAGCCCGAAATGAAGGTTGGAGGGGAAGGGAGAGGCTCTGGCCGGGATTAGCTGGTCTCTTCCCCGCAGGGTGGGGTGCTCCGCCCGCCCGAGGAACAGTTTGTTCCCCGGGTGCTTTTGTGGGCCGCTCTTCCAAAAGCGGAGGGTGAGGAAGGCCGCCTTGCGCAATCCAGAAGTCCCACAAATGCCCAACTCTCCCTTCCATCCCGCCCATCTGAACTGAGGCCTTGTCTGGCAAGAGGATTCCTCCAATCGCCTGGCCTTCCTTCCTTCTCCCTCTCTTCGCTGGCCTAGTTAGATCTCTTGCTTTCGGGGTTGGAAAACCATCCCATCCCATCCCACTCTTCCCGGGCTTTCAATAAATTTAACAGAAGAAGGGGGGGGCGAATAAAATTTTTTAAAAAAACAACAACCCAAGGACACGCTTCCTGTGGAAGACAACCCCGAAGCACCTATTCCTCGACCGGGCATCCTTTCCTGACGCCTTGGACTACTACAGTTTCCATCAATCGCTAGGGGCGAGTGAGAGTTTCCCACATCTAGAGGACGCGCCTGGGCAGAAGACGGGGGGGGGGGGGGCACAGCTGCCCTACAAGATTCCTGGAAACCAAAGGGNCAATCAGAACACAGCCAAGCTCCCACCCAATCAGCTGCCCTACAAGATTCCTGGAAACCAAAGGGGGGGGGGAAAGAGAGACTAAGAGGTTGCTACTATGACTTCCCTTCCCTTCCCTCCCCTCAACCACAGAAAAATAAGCCTGGCGCTGTTTGCTTCAGTTTAGTCGAGGTTGCAAAATAACGGAGCAGCCTTGCTTTATCCTCCAGAACGATGAAAAAGAGACGCGGTGTTGTGACAAATACTGAGAGGCACAAGTGACGGTTTCCTTCTCTCTCTCCTTCTCTCCCTCACACACACACACAACACAACACACACAGAGAGAGACCTGGCCCGCTCTACTGGTACTCCCCCGCCTTGCCTGCAGAAAGTCTTGGTTTAGTAGCGCTACCCGGGAGACTTACCGCATCGTTTTAAAGGGTGATATTCGACACCTGCCCGCTGCCCCTCACCCCCTAAACTGAGACTAATAGGTGATTAGGAAGGAGTCTGGAGGCCCCCAGGACGGGACGGGTGAGACGGATGGATTTTCGGAAGAATGAGAGAGAATCAACCTTGCCGGTCGCCTCCTTCTCCCGGTCGGTCGGAAAGCCAAAACGAAAGCCGGTCCCGCAGGCAGAGCAGGGGGTCACTTTTAACGCAGTCGTGGACATCTCTGAAGGTCAGGACCGGAGAGCTTAAGATCCTGGGAAAAGAAAGAAAGAAAGAAAGAAAGAAAGAAAGAAAGAAAGAAAGAAAGAAAGAAAGAAAGAAAGAAAGAAAGAAAGAAAGAAAGAAAGAAAGTTTCCTAAGTGAACGCCTTGCCTGCCTGCCTGACTTTAGGAATCTGCCAAGGCTGCCTTGTTTTCCGACAAGAGTCTCCCCTCGCCCCAAACCGAACTCACGCCCTCGCTCCGGATTCCGCTCGGGGCCAAGTTGGCATCACTGACCGGATTCCGGATTCAGCCCCGGGCTCCGCGGAAAGGGCTCGGTTCCTGCCCCTCTCTTAACCTCACCCGCGCTTGTGAGCTAAAAAAAACTAACCCGGCTGAAGGGGCCACGGGCGCCTGTTCCCTTCTCCGCA